ACTCCCCTCACCACCGATTTGGATCACTTGTTGTTCTCTTGTCCCTGGGTTTGTTCACACCACTACCTTTCCCCTTCCCCTCCCCCTCTCCCATGTGCCCCCTGTAACTGTCGGTCCCATTGTTTTCTCCTCCAGATTGTTAATCCAGCCTACCTTATTTAGACAGACCTGCGGAGATAATAACATGCGCAAAACAAGACAGAGCAAAACCAAGCAACAATATACAACAAAACAACAACAACAAACCAATGACAAAAAACGCAAAATAAAACATAACAAGAAAGAAAACTTGTAGTTAGTTCAAGAACTGTTTGTTGGCCTTAGGAGTGTTTTCTGGTTGAGTCTGATGGGGCACCATGCCTTTGCCCCAAAGTCCACCTTTAGCACTCCCTGAGGACCCCGCTGCTCTGTTCCCTTGCTGTTCTGTTGCACCCCTAGTGTTTTGCCTTGGTGTGGCGGCATCAGATTGGGGGCAATTCCCACATTGTGTCTCCGGTGTTGTCCCCTGATGAGCTATGGGTCAGTGAGGGGCATCATGTCTCATAGTGGGGCTGGCCATATGGTCCTCTCTGTGGACTGGCTGTTCTCATTGGGAACATCGTCCTCATGGCTTGGTGGGCCAGTATGTGCTCCACTCTCTCCTACTCCCCCTTCATCTGCTCCCGTGTGCTCCGATCAGATATGTCCCTCTCCCAGAGCTGCAGATTCAATGCTGTCCTTTGAAATAAATTCTTCTGGGGGGAGGGTCAGGTGTCCATGTAGTAGTTGGGATGGAGGCCAGCCAACCCCGTGGACATTTATTGGCAGTGCAAAAAAGGCTTTGTCATTTGCACAAGTAAGGCAGGTGCTAAGGGCCTTGTGATGGAGCAGCTGAGGGCCAGAGAGGGTTGTCTGCAAGCACAGCCGACAGGAGTGGTTCTTGACCAGAGAACTGCTGTGTCTTGAGCAGTTCTGATCCTGAACTGTAAACCGTTAACCTTCTTAGTAAGCACGATAATTGTATTTTCGGCATGGTCGCCGCACTGCAGCTTCGATCTAGCCGAGAGGCATCGAGGACCTGGAGGGTTGGTGTCAGGGCTGGTAAAGAAGGACTGAAGAGGGAGGCAAGGCTGGCCTCCATCCCACAGCAATAGCCTTGGGCTGTTGCTGATGGTGATGCTCCTCCCCCTTTGTGATGTCAGAGGAGGCCAGATGCGGCCCCATCTTTCTTATAATGACATTCTCACAGTCTCACAGCTTCCTTTTTTCCCCTTCCCAAATCATTTTATTGGGAGCAAATACAGGTATCACATGGTTCCATAGCTTAATCACATCAAGCATTATTGTATAATTGCTATCACAATCCATTTCAAAGCATGCCCTCCCTTCTTGAACTACTTGGGATCAGCTTCCCTTAACCCCTCCACGCTCTGTACCCCCCAGGAACCCTTATTCCACTTGCTGCCTGGATTCTGTGCTCTATATTCTGTCCTAGTTATCTATTTTTCTACCCTTATGTAGATACCATACTGACTTCAATAAGATAGCCTCATGGAGCATCTTAAATTTAACTAGTGAAGATGCAGTTTGGTTTTTAGGGGTCTTTGATTTTTCCATAGAATTAGTAAAATCAGTCAATCTCTACAAGAAGAACCTGCTTGGGATTTGTCTGTGCCTTGAATCTGTAGATATACTTAGTGGGAACTGACAACTTTACAATCTTCAGTTTTCCAATCTGTTAACATGGTATATTTCTCCATTTATTCACATTAAAAGATTTTTTTTCTCAAGTGGGTGAAGGGAGATGTCGAACAGTGTAAGATATGACAAAATAATAATAATTTATAAATTATTAAGGGCTCATGAGGGAGGTAGGAGCAGGGAGGGAGGGGAAACAATGAGGAGTTGATACCAAAGGCTCAAGTAGAAAGCAATTGTTTTGAAAATGATGATGGCAACAGATGTACAAATGTGCTTGACACAATGGATGGATGTATGGATTGTGATAAGAGTTGTATGAGCCCCCAGTAAAATGGTTTTCAAAAAAGGAAAAAGATAAAATAGAATTTTCAGGCAACTGGTATAAATTTTTTCCCCAGAACATTTATATTTTTCAGTATAGGGGCCATACACATATGAGGATAAGTCAAGAAGTACTGTTGTAAAATCACAGAAACCTTTATTAAACTAACATATCAAAATGTGAGGCTACATTTCCTGACCTATCTGCCATGTAGGTCTCAATACATCTGAAAATAGTATTGCCATCTCTCTTACTCTTCCCACGAACTCGGCTCTCTTCAGCTTACAGCAAGTCAAAGTGACACTTGAGGGCCTCAAGCCACGTTCCTTTGAAAGATTCTTTGCATTTGGGGAACAAAACGATCACCAAAAGGGTAAGAAAACAACTAAAAATGTTTAAAATGTTTTGCCATCGTTCATGAAGAAAGCAAAAGGTCATTAAAAAGGCCGGAAAGAAAGAAAAGATCAAGGTGGATGTCAGAAGACCCTCAGAACCTTGCTCTTAATCAAAGAGCAGCTTAAGCAAATGGAAGAAACGATGAAGCCAAGATGCTGAATAGAACATTTCAAAGGGCAGCTTGAGAAAATAAAGCAAAATATTATAGTGAAATATGCAAGGACCCAGAATTAAAAACCCAACGGGAAGAACATGCTCAGCAGATCTGAAACTAAAAGAACTCAAGAAAAATTCAAGCCTCAGATTGAAAATTTGAAAGATTCTAGAGGCAAAATATTGACTGACGCAAGAAGCATCTAGAGAAGATGGAAAGATGCACAAAGTCCTGTACCAGAAAGAACCAGTAGACAGTCCCCCATTTCGGTAGGTAGCAGATGAGCAAGAACCGATGGTGCTGAAGGAAGACGTTCAAGCTGCCCCGAATGCATTAGGGAAAAACACAGTTCCCAAGGCTGATGGCATATCCATCAAACTGTTACAGAAAGCTGAAGAAGCACTGGAAGCACTCACTCATCTATGCCAGGAAATTTGGAAGACAGCTACCCTGCCAACTAACTGGAAGTGATCCATATTTGTACACCCATTCCAAAAATAGAGGAGCCAACAGAATGCTCAAACTGTAGAATGATATCATTAATATGGCCCAGAAGTAAACTTTTACTTAAGATTTCCCAATAATGGCTGCAACAGCACATTGGCAGGAAATGGCCTTAAGTTCAGGCTGGATTCCGAAGAGGACGTGGACAAGGGATATCATTGCAGATGTCAGATGGGTCTCTGCTCAAAGCAGAGAATACCAGAAAGACGTTTACTTGTGTTTCTTTGACTTTGCAAAGTCCTTCGACTTTGTGGACCATGATAAACTGGATAACCTTGAGAAGGATGGGATTTCCAGAACACTTCGTTGCATTCATTTGGAACTTGCTCATGGACCAAGAGGCACTTGTGCAAACAGATCAAGGGAATACCCCAAGATTTAAAATCTAGAGGGGTGTGTGTCAGGGTTGTATTCTCTCACCATGCTTGTTCAATCTATATGCCGAGCAAATCATCAGAGAGGCTGGGTTATATGAAAAAGAGTTTGGCATCAAAATTGGAGGAAGACTTACTGACAACCTGCTGTATGCAGATGACACGCCTTGCTAGTTGAAAGTGAGGAGGACTTGAGGCACTTGCTGACGAAGATCAAGGATTGTAGTCTTCAGTATGGACTACAACTTGATGTAAGTTAGACCCAAATCCTCAGGACTGGACCAATAAATAACATCGTGATAAATGGAGAAAGGGTTGATGTTGTCCAGGATTTTCTCTTGCCTGGATCTACAATCAATGCTCATGGAAGCAGCAGTCAAGAGACCAAAGACGTGTTGCATTGGGCAAATCTGCTGCATAAGACTTCTTTAGAGTGATGAAAAGCAAGGATGTGACCTTGAAGACTCACGTGTACCTGACTCGAGCCATTGTATTTTCTATCACTTTGTACGCACTTGAAGCGTGGACACTGAATAAGGATGACTGGAGCAGAATAGATGCATTCTAACTGTGGTGCTGGAGAAGAACATAGAAGAATATTGAATGTACTACGGCCTGCTAAAAGGACCAAGCAATCTGTGTTGGAAGAAGTATGGCCAGAGTGCTCCTTAGAGGCAAGGATGGTGAGACTTCATCTTACATACTTTGGACATGTTGTCAAGAGATACCAGACCCTGGAGAGGGCCACCGTGCTCGGTACAGCGGAGAGGCAATGAAACAGAGGCAGGCCTTCAGGAGATGGGCTGACTCCGTGGTTGCCACAATGGGCGCGGCCATGGGAACAGCTGTGAGGACGGCACAGGACAGGGCAGGGTTTCCTTCTGTTGTGCTTAGAGTCGTCATGGGTCCGGACCGACTCGATGGCACCTAACAACAGTTCACACTCATAGAAGCAGACAACCTCATCTCTCTCTGGAGAGAGGCTAATGACTTCCGACTGCCGCCCTCCCTTTCAGCAGAAGCACTTAACCACTGTGCCACCCTGCCTCCTCTGTACCCCTCGCAGAACAAAGCAGGCAAATGCCAGCCGCTTCCCATCCATGGGTCTTTGCTTTTCTTTGTACTTCACTTAATCAAGAGCAGGGGTCCAGGAGGTCAGACCCCCCAGTGAGAGGGGGACAGTCCTGGAGCTGCCCTGGAGGCCTCTGACAGGCACAGACTCGGCACCTGGCATTCAGTCAGCCGTTCTGAGCCCTGAAGACTCTGAACTTCCTTCTGTGGGGTGATACCCCGGAAACTAAGGAGGTCGCAGGGCATGGGTGGGCTCTCAGGTCACAAGGAAACACTGGTCCCCAGCCCGGCCTGCGAGGCCCAGCTGGCCCACATGTGGCAGCTTCCAGGTCATTTCTAAACACTGCGTGTGTCCTGGCCCGGCATCCCCACCACCTATTTTGTATGATTTCAGCCCCTGTTTTATGGCCTCATGGCCTTACTGGCCCAGGGCCTGCCTCTCACCCCTGAGCAGTCACATTGCCCCAGAGAAAGCTGATAGAGGAGGAGACAGACTCACCTGGGACTGAGCTGGTTGTTCGCACCTGCAATCCTGGGCTCTGGCCCTGCTGGGTCTGGGAGCAGCTCTCCTCCAGGGCTGGCCGTGTCCAGTGTGGGAGCTGGGCCTGAGCAGGAAGTCTGGGAACCACCTCATAGCCCCGCCCCAAAGGGAAAAGAGAAGTGAAAATGTTGACTTACAGGGGTGGCTGCAGGCCAATGTCTCCTCCTCCTCCAGCTCCAGGGTGGCTTTGGGCCCAGATGGAATGAGGCAGCTGGATTCAGGGGACGGTTTCACAGCTGGGCTCGAGGACCAGGAAAGGGGCCGCCCCTGTGGGGAGCCGGCCAGCTCCAAGCCCACCTGTGTGTGCAAAGACCGGCAAAGCTTCTGTGTCAACTCTGTGCTGCAGCTGCCTCTGCCTTCGGAGGGGGGGCTGGTGTTTATGAGGTTTGTCTCTGCTCCCCATTCTCTCTTGCCAAGGCACTCATGCAGGAGAGACTTGGGGCTCCCTCTCTGGTCCTGGCCTGCGCTGCCCGTGGTGAGCTCTGAGAGCAAGAGGTCGAGACCGGCTTCTGAGAACAAACAGGCCTGAGGCCAGTGCCAAGTGGGTGAGCAAGGTTGCCCTATTCAACGCAGGTGTTTGCAAGGAGGGCAGCTCACAGCACAGGGTGACCAGGAGCCAGCCAAGCACGGAGGATGCCCCTGAGAGCGGGGGAAGAAAAGGTGCCTTCTTATTGGGTGGGGATCGAGCTTGGATCCCAGATGGCCTAGATGCTAACAGGCAGGGTGACCCCCTCTGTGAACTCAGTGGATGTTGATGCACAGCAGTTCTATAGGATGGGGTAGAACTGCCCCTGTGAGTTTAGGAGACTGTGAACAGGGGCAGAGAGCCTTGTCTTTCTCCAGAAGAGCTGCTTGTGGTTTCAAATTGCTGACTTGGTGTTGGGCCATGTTTATGTGTTGGCCTGCGATCTGCAAGGTCAGCAGTTCAAAACCATGAGCCTCTCCTAGGGAGAAAAATGAGGCTTTCTATCCCCATGAACGGTTACAGTCTGGCAGACTCATGGGCAGTTCTACCTTGTCCTATAGGATCACTTCGAGTCTGTCTGGACTTACTGGCAGTGAGTATATTATATTGGGTCACCCTTCCATGCAGGACAAGCAGGGACCTGGAAGACGGATTCCACCACAGTATAGACTACAGTGGGGCACCTGCCACACCTGGTGGGCGGGCAGGGGACTGAGCAGTGGAATTGTTTGGTGAATGGAAGTGGACTTCCCTACACCCACGAGCCCCGCGGTGAAGCAGATGGTGAGACTCTGTTCTGCTGTAGGCAGGCTGCGGATGGTGAGTTGGGCCCTCGGGGACCGAGCTCATCAATGGAAGCCAAGAAGGTGTGGTTGTCCCCTTCAAGGGGCACTGATCTGTGTTAGCTAAAAGGTGGCCAAGCTGACATGATGGTCAAGTGATCTACAAGATGGGGCTCAGATGTCCAGACAGGGCTGTAATTCTTTTTTTAAAAAATTATTTTATTAGGGGCTCGTACAACTTTTATCATAATTCCATACATACATCCATTGTCTCAAGTACATTTGTACAAATGTTGCCATCATCGTTTTCAAAGCATATTCCTTCTACTTGAGCCCTTGGTATCCCCTCATTTTTCCCCTCCCCACCCTCACCCTTCCTCCCTCCCTCCCTCATGAACCCTTGATAATTTACAAATTACTATTTTTTCATGTCTTGCACTGTCCAGTATGTCCCCCACCCCCTTGTCTGTAGTTCATCCCCTTGGTAGGGTGTTGTAGGTAGGGTATTGTGATCAGTTTCCCCCTTTCTCCTGGTATTGCTACTCTCAACATTGGTCCCAAGGAGCTTTTCTGTCCTGGATTCCCTGTGTTTCCAGCTCTTATCTGTACCCATGTACATGCTCTGGTCTAGCCAGATTTGTAAGGGATAATTAGGGTCATAACAGTGGGAGAGGGGGGAAGCATTAAAGAACCAGAGGGAAGTTGTATGTTTCATTGGTGCTACACTGCACCTTGACTGGTCCGTCTTCTCCCCACAACCCTTCTGTAAGGGGATGTCCAATTGCTTACAGATTGGCTTTGGGCCTCCGCTCCGCACTCCGCCCCCACCCGCCACCTCCCCGCCACCATTCACATTATGATTTTTTGGTCTGGGTCTTTGATGCCTGGTACATCAACACCTCATGATCACACAGGCCGGTGTGCTTCTTCCATGTGGGCATTGTTGTTTCTCTGTTAGATAGCCGCTTGTTTATCTTCAAGTCTTTAAGACCCCAGACTCTATATCTTTTGATAGCCAGGCCCCATCAGCTTTCTTCACCACATTTGCTTATGCACCCACTTTGTCTTCAGCGAACATGTTGGGAAGGTGAGCATCTCAGAGTGCCAGATTGTTAGAACAAAGTGTTCTTGTGTTGAGGGAGTGCTTGAGTAGAGGCAGGGCTGCCTTCTGTCCATGACAGAGCCACTGCTTTCTGTGGACAGGCCTCTGACTGAAGTTCCAAAGGAGTATGAGACTGGGGGCCTAAGACCTAATGGGGGGCCCCAGACATGGGGTTGTGGCATCCAGGGCCCAGGCCCAGCACACCAGGATGGAGGTGGAGGGTACACAGGGAGGGATGGTGGTAGGGGGAAGCTTAAGGGTTGTGGAAATCAGAGTTCATGCTCCTTTATCAGGCTGATCCCGAGGGTCCCTGTTGCATGGACAGCAGTAGTTCTCAACCTTCCTGATGCTGTAACCCCTTAATACAGATCCTCATGTTGTGGTGGCCCCCCAACCACAAAATTATTTTTGTTGCTACTTCGTCACTGTCATTTTGCTACTGTTATGACTTGGGTGACCCCTGTGAAAGGTTCGTTCGACCCCCAAAGGGGTGTCAACCCACAGGTTGAGGACCACTTACACAGGGACAGGAAGTGTCCCCCCTCTCCTGCCTGCTCCCTCTTTCTCCCTGGGGAGGGGGAAGCAGTCTGGTGGGAATGGATCCAGCACACAGAGAAGATGATCTGTCACAAGTGGGGGGGAGGGCATTGCCTCCTGAGCGCTGCTCACACGTGGGTCCCCTCTGCTTCTCTCCCTGACGAGCCCTGACTTGCCATTTCGGGGATAAACAGGCAGTAAGCTGAGCTTCTCTCAGGTGCAGCTCTCCTCTGTCCTCAGCCTCCTTGGGGCATGTCAGGCCAGGCACCAGGGGCTAGTGCCACAGAACACAACTGCCACTCTGGGGTCCCTGCCTCTCTGCCCCAGGGCATGCTAGGGGCGCTAGTCAGAGAGAAGTTAGGCTCCCCCGACATTCTGTACCAGCAAGAGTGATTTCCGTGGCCTCCAGAGATGTCTCTGGAGGACACCAAGTCTCTTTGGGGACAGTGAGCCAGGTATCTTGCTGGATGGAGGCAGAGGGGCAGGTCCCGGGCCATCTGTTCCTATCTCTTCACAGGTCTCTCTACAGGGCAGAGTGCCTGGGGGAAGACTTCTCTGACTGGGGGGCTTGGCAGGAGGTGCACGTGGGCATGGCTTTATCTTTTTTATTTTAAGGAAAGAAAAGAAAAGGAAGCATCTTTTCAACTCCAAAAAAGAAATAGAAAAAATCCAGAAAAAAGCAACTGGAGGCTGGAGGTCAGAGACAGCTCGTACAGGACCTTGAAGCCATGGTGTGTGGGGTTGGGGTGGGTGTGAGTGGGCAGATGGATTTTATGCTACATGCTGTGTAAGCCTAGCAGTTAAGTGACATGATCTTAGAAAAGCTTAGCCAGTGTGTAAAAACGTCGACATCTGTTTTGTCAACTATGCAAAGGCTTTAGAAATCTCTGCAGATCGTAGAAATGTGGGCCAACATCCAGAAGAATAGAAATTGCAAAACACTTACACCAAGAGGATTTAAGGGACACTGCGTGGCTCCTTTTCTAAGTGTGTGTCAGGGCACTATCCTCCCTCCACACGTATTTAACCTGCGACTTGAGCAACTAGTCCACGAAGCTGCCCTCCAGGAGAGGAGCACGGTGTTAGGAGGGGAGGAAGAACTGCGCACAGCCTGCTGTACGCCGAGCACAGAACCTCCGCGTGCTGAGAGGGAGACGGTCCCGAGCACTTACTGATGAAGACCGAAGACTAAACCTCAGTGTGAGTTGCGCCTCAACCTAACGACAAACATATTCTCACAGCCTCGTCAATAGCAACCTCACGACGAGGACGCAACCTTGAAGCGGTCAAGGGTTCATTTCACTTGTGTCCCCAAACAACATCCGTTGGAGCAGGAGTCCAGACCCCAAAGGAGGTATTGTGTTGGCCAGACCCGGAAGGAACAGACGAAGAAACCCAGAACATTCAAGTGTGAAAAAGCAAACACGTCATTTTGAGGACGTAGGTGCTCCTGATCCAAGACATGATAGTTTCAATCTCCTCCCATGTATGTGACAGTGGGCCAATGAAAAAGAAACACCAAAGAATTGATACTTTTTCTTCTTTTTTTGTAAATCATTTTATTGGGGGCTCTTATCACAATCCATCCATCCATCCAGTGTGTCAAGCATATTTGTACATCTGTTGCCATCATCATTTTCAAAGCATTTTCTTTCTACTTGAGCCCTTGGTATCAGTTCATCTACCCCTTCATGAACCCTTGATCATTTATAAATGATTGTTATTTTTTTCAACCATTTTGGGTGCAGGTGCTCCTGGAGAGGACCACTCTCTGGAGTTAGGGGTTGGCTGAGAGGGTGGGGGCTAAGGAGGTGGGAAGGAGATTACTAATAGGAGAAAAGGAAGTTCACTGTAGAATTTATTTAACATTTTTCATAAATCCCCCCTTTTTTTTTGGCCCAGGGGCAGCCTCACTGACTGGTGGGATCCAAGAGAAGCACCAAGTCGTGGATCACATGACTCAAATGAAGGACAATCCAACCAATCAATCAAAGGTCATGACAAGAGCCCCAAAGACCAACACTGACTGTGTCCAAACACCCGAGCCAGGAGGTAAGCCTGACACTGGAATCTGCCACGGAAAGGTCTCCATGTGGGAGGAGCTCTCGTGGGGTGGGAGAGATGTGGGAAAAGATGTAGAAGGAGGAGACGTGCACAGAAAGAAGGGGAGGT